CTTGTTGCCTCGTTTTTAAACTCGAAATTCCAAAGAATATTTTTCCTTAAACGAGGCAACAAGGGCTCATTTTCAAGTAAACAAAAGAATACTAAAATGGCGGCCATTTTGGAATAAGGTGTATGTCCCTGACCAAAGTAAGATTATTGATCATCTTAGAGAAGCTGTTTACACTGTTCGCCATTCGGCATCCAATCGGAAGAAAATTCCACAGAATTGTACCTCTGTAAGATACGGCGGATTTCTTGATATTTGATTTAAAATGAGGGATTTCCAGCTTAAGGCGGTTTCTTAGATTATAGGAGGATTGTGATTTTGCAATATGTGCAGTCATACAGGGTGGTGAATCATTGTAGTACATTTTATAAATTAGTTTCAGAATTGAGTTCTTATAATAGGTTCTTAGAGTGTCCCATTTGGCCCTGGTGAGGGCTTCAACTGATGGTAGGTCTTTAGGAAGGTTGAAAATAAGCCTTGCTGCCCTGCAGTGTAGTCTTTCGAGTGAGTCGAAGTCATCTGAGCGATTCGTGCCTCCCCATACAGATATACCGTACGTGACTGCAGGGATTATAAATTCGAAATATAGGTGTAAGAGATCTTGCTTAGGTAAAAATCTGCTCTTCTTTATGAGACTCAATTTGTTGACGAAGCTCTTCTTTAGTCCCTCAATATGTGCTGACCAGTTCAATTTATCGTCAATATCGACACCCAAGAGTCGACTTTGTATGACCCATTCCAGAATGTTGTTTCCAAGGTATATGGGTGGGTGGGAGCCTGTAAAGGATCCTCTGTGGATTAGCATGTATTCGGATTTTTTCGGGTGCGGGGTCAGCTTATTTCTGACACACCGCGCATACAACTCGGTTACGGGTTGATTTAGCGCAGCGGCGACCTCGTCTACGCTCCTCCCTATGCAGTAGATGGTCACGCAAATATCAGTCACTTATTTCTGTAATTTGCGAAACGGGGCACTTCTGTGACCTTTTGGCTCAAACCCTTCGTTCAAAAATTATCACTGCATCGAGTTGTATCTACGAAAAGTATTAAACAATCGGAAGAAATAAGTTATATATCGTTACAGTCTTCGAAGAGCTCGTTTCGCAAATTACAGATCTGTAATTTGCGAAACGGGGCGCATCTGACCTTTTGGCTCAAACCCTTTGCTCAAAAATCATCACTGCATGGAGTTGTATCTACGAAAAGTGTTAAAGAATCGGAAGAAATAAGTTACACATCGTTACAGTCTTCGAAGAGCTCGCTTCCCAAAATATAGATTTTCGAATTTACGAATTCTACACTTCCACTGTTTTATTCCTTGTTTAGGTTATCGCACGAACTGTTGTGATACTTGACATGTTCATTTCAGTACAGGTTTATTCCTGGTTTATTTGTTTTGTTTCGTTTCGTTTCGCAAAATACAGTAAGCATCTTCGTCGTTAGCTGCGCGTGAACAAGTAGTAGAAGTAACGTTTGTTCCCGGGGGAGGTACTTTGGGAATTTCTGGGTGGGGATGTGCCGCTGTGACCCTGGAACCCTTAGCCTACACCAGAGTTAGCTCAGCTGAATTTTGCTAACCTATACTAGAGTAAACTCCCCAAATCCCCCCATCTATTGAGACTGTTAAGGTTGATTTGCGTAAATTTAAACTTGCCGATTTGATTTTTTTTATATTTTTGAGTGGCAATTTCTGGTTTCCTTACTCTAGATAAAATCTTCAACCAA